TTGAATCTCAAATTCAAAATCTTTTGGGATAAAGTTTTTTAAATAAATAAACAAAATAAAATAAAAAGAATAATATAATATATGATTATTTTGTACTAATATAATAAATGAAGTGAATGGTGATAATTTTATCATAGTAAAACGGGAAATATCGATGTTCAATTTTAAGGTTCAGGGTTCAATTTTAAGGTTCAGGGTTCATATTTAAGAAGAAATAATAATATTTAATTATTATTCTAGGTAATTCTAATGCTAAAATAAATGGATTATCAGTATTATTATGTCAGGCACTCATAAATTTGATCGAAAAGTATTAATATACATACCATATTGTAGGCTCGGATTTAGCAAGGCTCGACATGTTCTATCTTGATTTGAATATTTTGATTTATGTGTATCCTAGTCTATATGACTTTAATCTGATCTGTATTATGTATAATATATACTTCTCTTAGTACATGCGTTACGTGAGTTGAATCTGTGTCTTGTGTGTAGGACAGTAAATGAGATGAGATTGATCGTAAGTTATTTGAGATCGACTATGTTAAAGTTTGTAAATACACGACTCGAATGGGCTTGACTCGGGCTCAAGCTTAAATCGAGTTCTTAACAAACCGAAATGAGCTACTTGATATTTGACTCAATAAGCTCGTGAGTAACTCAAAAAAATATTAAAATTTTATCTTTTAAAAATTAAATTATCAATAATATTAACATTTATGTGTTAATTGTTTTTAATGTAGTATAAGATTTTCATGTATTTTAGGTTCATGTTCGAATTTGAGCTTTAATTAAGATTTAGATTTTTTTTATTTCGAGTTTTTACTAGCTTCAATTTATGGTTTCGAGTTAGAGTCAAACTTAAAAATTTTAGGCTCTTGAATTTTCAAGCTGTGTCTAACTCCGTTTTAGAATTTTCGAGTCGAGACGAGCTGAGTGTTACCCCCTCAGACCGATGCGGATAGCCCGATCCGATCTGGAGTGTCACATTAGGGCCACCGGAGCGACCCTCTGTAAAAATAACGGAAAATTTAAAACTTTTATTAAAACATATAACTCATAATTGCCTTAAAAACATTCAGAAATAAAACAGATTTTTCAAACTCATATATAAAATAAAATACAATTACATGCCCCCTAATCACAAGTACCATCCTCTGCAAGCAACGCCAGAAGAACTCTCTTACTGAAATCGATAGCTGCATTGGTACAATTCTTTTAACCTGCAATGATTGGTAATAGAGTGAGCTTCGAAAAGCTCAGTAACACATAACTACCAGATGACGCTTCATGACATGCAGATAATTGGAAAACCATATAATTTCCTTATTGACTCTGATGTATACCAGTTTGAGGAATAATCTGGGGTTCCATTAGTAGTTCATCGAGTAGAAGCCATAAATATCACAGTTCATAGGAAACATTTCATACTATCACGTTTTTAAGAGTCGAAAAGGATGTCTAGTATGTTCCAATCAAAACCAGTGAAAATATATAAATCTTTTAAAACCATAGTAGGTACAATAAAGTAATAGTTCAGTAAATCATCATAAAATCATAATGAAGTTTCACTTTTGAAACTTGTAGTTTAAATCCTTTTCATGTACACCATCCGTAGTTTCCCAGAACTACATCCATAAGGCTTACCTTAAGCACACAGCAAAAAGGAAGTCAACCTAAGGATAGGCTTTAGAGCCTGTATCCTTAAGTCCGTAAGTCCGTAGGGCTTACCCTAAGCACACAACAAAGGGAGCCAACCTAATGGAGCATCTTGTTATAATCAAATATAAATAAATATGATATGATCATTTTGACAATATTAATTATCATTTTAAGAAAATAAAGTTTAAATAAATTTTGAAATGTAAAATGGTTTTCAAAATTCAAATAACATCTATAATCTGTATAGGTATAATTACACAGGTTATGGGTGTTACATTTATTGGCATCAGAGCTATAGGTTTAGCCGATTCTAGGACTAAACCGAGTTTGTTTTAAATTAAAAAGTGTATACATGCCACTAGGATGTCAAAAGTTACTGATAGTTGTATATATACTGTGATGATGCTTATTAGGAGTAAAGTTACTCTTTACTAATGGGCGATGATTTTGACCGTGTTCAGATGTCAGATCATCAAGAATCGAGTAGGCAGGCGATCATGTTACTCCTGTACAGAGTGAGAGTAATGAGGTGAATCAGAATCAACCTAATGCTCAGCCAAATATATAGCCGTCTAATATGAATCAATAAGATATGCTTGTTCAGGATCGAGGTTGTTTTTACAAGCCCTAGACACCATTATTAACCGTCGAACCCCAGTGTCAGTTCTGAAAGAACTAAGAAAGATGAGAGCACCTGAATTTCGAGGTGATTCGGATGCTAATCTGATGGCTGCTAACTTCTGGTTGAATGATATCAAGAATATGCTCAACAGGATTCCTTGTGATGATCAAGGAAAATTAGAAGGGGTTGTGTCTCTACTGATGGAGCAAGCCAGTGTGTGGTGGAATACAATCGTCGCACGAGTTTTCACTGAGCAGGTCACATGGGAATTCTTTCTGAGGGAATTCAAGGAAAAGTATATTGGGGTGTGTTTGTTAATGAGATGATGTAACAGTTCCTAAACTTAAAGCAATCCGGTAAAACAGTTTATGAGTACGAATGTGAATTTCACAAGCTGAGTCGATTTGCCTCAGAGCTTATTTTGACTGAGAAATCTAGAATTGATAGATTTATTTCTGGATTGGATTCTCAGTATAAGAGAATTCTGGTTTCTCATCATTTTACTGCTTTCCAAGAAGCGGTATACAAGGTTAAAGCTATGGAAAAAGTTAACCTTGAAGATATAGAGGCGAAGAAGGCTCAGACAAACAAAAGGTTTGGAAGCTCTTACTCTGCATCATTTTTCAAACGCAACAAAGGTCAGCAGCAGAAAAGTTATGCTTCCTCAGTATCCACGTGTAGAAAAGGATTTTATGGAGGAAAGTTCAAGCAGACACTGGCAACTTCGGTGGGTACTCAAGGTTCGAGATTCCGTCCTATTACAGAATGTAAGATTTGTTGGAGAAAACATTCGGGTCAATGTTGGTTTGAGGAAGGGAAATGTTTTCACTGTGGTAAAGTTGGTCATTTTAAAAGGAATTGCCCAGAACTTCATCCAGATTAGAGAGTATCGGGACCTCAGAGGGTTAGAGGTGGCAAAATGGGTAAACTTGGTACATTTGAGTATGTATCTAATCATGAAGGCAAAACTACTGCAAGAGTTTATCACATCAAGACTGATGATGACAGAGATGCTCCTGAGATTCTAGCAGGTACTTTTTATCTCTTTGATGAACCTGTTTTTGTATTGATTGATCCCGGTTCTACATACTCGTATATAAACAAAACTGGTAAGAGATAGGGGAATCTTTTTAGAACCTATTTCTAGGGATATTGTGGCTATCAATCTATTGGGCCATAGTGCAAAAATTTGTTGGAGTAGTAATAAATGTCCGATAAAGATACAAGGAGTGGAATTTCCTGTAAACCTATTAGAATTGCCTTTTGAGGAATTCAGGATAATTTTAGGTATGGATTGGCTATCTTCCTACTATGGTTAGGTATATTGTCGTTTGAAGAGATTGTTTTTAAAGGATACAACGAGTTTAGAGATAATATTTGTTGGAGAAAGGTTAAATCCCATATCCAATTTGATTCCAGCTTTTACTGCTAAGAAATTATTGTCACGGGGATGTTAGGCAATTTTAGCAAATGTGTTAGATACCGGAACTACTGAAGTTAAGTTGGAAAGTATTCCAACTGTATGAGAATATCCAGAGGTATTTCCGGATGAATTACCTGGATTACCTCTAGATAGAGAGGTGGAGTTTGGGATTGATGTATTCCCAGGTACAACGCCTATTTCGATGGCTCCTTATCGAATGGCCCCAACAGAGTTAAGAGAATTAAAGGCTCAATTGCAAGAGCTACTAGATCGAGGATTTATAAGACCAAGTATTTCACCTTGGGGTGCACCTGTGTTGTTCTTGAAAAAGAAAGATGGATCAATGTGTTTGTGTATCGATTATCGACAGTTGAATAAGGTGACTATAAAGAACAAATATCCTCTTCCAAGGATTGATGATTTGTTTGATCAACTTAAGGGAGCAACTGTTTTCTCTAAGATTGATCTTAGATCGGGATATCATCAGTGAAAGATTAAAGAGGAAGATGTTCCAAAGACAGCTTTTAGAACACGGTATGGACACTACGAGTTCGTAGTAATGCCGTTTGGGTTGACAAATGCTCCAGCAACATTCATGGATTTGATGAATCGAGTATTTTAACCTTATTTAGGTCAATGTGTGGTGGTTTTTATTGATGATATTATGGTATACTCAAAGAAAAAGATAGAACATGATGTTCATCTTCGTACTGTGCTCGAAATACTTAATGATAAAAAGTTATATGCCAAACTATCAAAGTGTGAGTTTTGGTTATCAGAAGTTTCTTTTCTTGGTCATGTTGTCTCGAAAGAAGGTATAAGAGTTGATCTTAAGAAAATTCAAACAATATTAGAGTGGAAACCTCCAAAGAATGTTACAATGGTCTGAAGTTTTTTGGGACTTGCTGGTTATTATCGAAGGTTTGTGAAATTTTTTTCGATGATTGCTTCTCCTTTGACCAAGCTCTTCGGAAAGGATGTTTCATTTGCTTGGGGTGATAAATGTCAAGAGAGTTTTGAAGCTCTAAGGAAGATTTTAACAGAAGCACCAGTGTTGGTACAACCAGAATCGAGCAAAGAGTATGTGGTGTATAGTGATGCATCTCATAATGGTTTGGGATGTGTACTTATGCAAGATGGTAAGGTGGTAGCCTATGCTTCTCGACAATTAAAGACGCACAAGAGGAATTATCCTACTCATGATCTTGAATTAGGAGTGGTAGTTTTTGCTTTAAAGATTTGGTGTCATTATTTGTATGGTGAGAGATGCCACATTTACACGGATCATAAGAGTTTAAAATATTTGTTGACTCAAAAAGAGCTCAATTTGAGACAAAGAAGATGGATAGAACTTTTAAAGGATTATGATTTGATCATTGATTATCATCCAGACAAAGCAAATGTAGTAGCAAATGCACTTAGTCGGAAAACTTTTGTAGCTTTGCGAGCTATGAATGTGCGACTATTGTTGAAGGAAAATGGTGCACTATTGGCTGAATTAAAGATAAAATCGATGCTTTTATATCAGATATTGGAGCTACAAAAGAAAGATGACAGATGCTTGAAAAAGATTTCACTAGTGGAAAAATGTGAGACTAAAGACTTTGAAGTCAAGTCAGATGGATGTTTGTATTATCGAGGAAGAATCTATATTCCACATGATGATGAGTTGAAGAAAGATATTATTTCTGAGGCACATTATAGTCCACTGACTATGCATCCAGGTGGGAGAAAAATGTATCATGATTTAAAAAGTTGATTTTGGTGGCCGGGTATGAAAAGACCCATTTCAGAGTTTGTTGCTACATGTCTGACGTGTCAGCGAGTGAAAGCTGAACATCAGGTGCCTTCGGGATTGTTACAACCAATTTCTATTCCAGAATGGAAGTGGGAGAGAGTTACTATGGATTTTGTCACAGGGCTACCATTGACATCAAATAAGAAGGATTCCATTTGGGTGATAGTTAATCGGTTAACTAAATCGACACATTTCATTCCGGTGAGAATGGACTACGCCTTAGATAAATATGCAGAGTTGTATATCAAGGAATTATTAAGAGATAAGTATTTTGATAGATAATGAGTTTCAAAAATATTATAGAGCTATTTTGGGATATGTTTATGTTAGTACAAAACTAACATATGTATTGTGATGAACTTGTGAATTATACAGATCGTGATTGATTTGTGATTGAAGCAAGTCAAATAGAAAAGGGTTATTTTGGACAATAGTGAGGAACAAATTTGGAAAATTTTAAAGTGTCAAGGTGAGTGCAATACATGCATGAAATTATACATGGGTGTTTTATACATCATCAGGAAGACTTGCGATAAGTCGACCTTATTTATATCAGTATGATATATGTTATTTTTATAACTTCGACATGACATTGAAATGTCACGGTATGAAATTAAAATGCATTGATCATGAAAAATGTGATATTTTACCATGAATGTTTTCGGGTATGAACTGCCCAATGTTAAATTTGATAATATACTTTTCCGTGGATGAATCAAATAAAATAGACTATATGCCCAAGTAAGTCATTGAGGGACAGGGTATAGTTGGCATGCCATAGAGTATAGCAGCTGCAGGTTTATATTAGCACTATAGTGTGTAAAGACACTAAGTGCAAGTTTATGATCGGATTAGCACTATAGAGTAAGCTTAGTGTAGATGGTGGCACGACCTTATGTGTAATGTCCGGATTAGCACTATGGCGTAAGCTTAGTGTAGGTTTAGCACTACGGTGCATGTATATTACTCGAATACCCAGGGTCCTCAGGGTTTTATAATGGGCTATTGTTTATGGTTTAATAGATTATTGGTTAATAAATGATAAGCATGAAAATAAGCTTACGAGCTTATGGAATAAATGGAAAATATATTGGTAAGAACTTTTATACTCAGTTATATTATTTTGATCATGGTAAAATATTGGATATGCTGGTAATATGATTTTAAGGTATTTGATTTTTATAATAAAATTCATGCATGAGTTGTATTGCACTGTTATTGTTTTAATTACCTCACTAAGTATATACTTAGCGTGTGATGATTTTCAAGCGTAGGTAAAAAGCCAGTAGAGGAATAAAGAGTTCAAGGCAATATCAAGTATCAAGAAGTATATTTCTATATCAGTAAGACATCCTAAGATGTAATGTAGACTTAATTAGCGGCATGTAATTATTAATGTTTTTATTTGCTTTGTTGAACAAAATTGGAAACAAAATGGAATTTTTATGAATTTATATGTATTTTCGGAAGTTACTATAGTAGTACTGTGTACATCGATGTACTGTAGTGCATCGATACATAATTTTAATTTGAAAGTTTGGTGCATCGATGCACTGTTCACGGTACTGTAGCAGTGCATAGGTACACTGTTAACTGTTCATGGTACTGTAGCAGTGCATTGGTACACTATTTACTGTTCACGGTATTGTTCATCACTATTCATAAAAAAATCTTTTGCCTTAAACTTGTTATAATCAAATATAAATAAATATGATATGATCATTTTGATAATATTAATTATCATTTTAAGAAAATAAAGTTTAAATAAATTTTGAAATGTAAAATGGTTTTCAAAATTCGGATAACATCTATAATCTGTATAGGTATAATTATACAGGTTATGGGTGTTACACGGTTTGTCGAACGGAGGTCGGACGACGAGTAGATCAGAGTTGAAAGTCGTTGACCGGGAGAGGAAAAATGAGAAATTATTCTGCAGAATACACGGGAAATGGTGGTTTATATTTTCTCCTAAAGAAAAATGGTCAAATCATGAGTTTAGCCACTGAATTTCCTGTACTTCTTAAAATGGTCTGCCAACTTTGAAGTTTTACAATTTAATCCACTATTTCTTTCAAAATACCAATTAAATCCACCATGTTATAATTCTAAAATTTAGCCCCTAAATTAGGGTATTACAATTCTCCCCTCCTTAAAAGAATTTCGTCCTCGAAATTCATTAATATCACATAATTGTAGCAATGAAAATCCCAATAGTTCTTTTATATCTTTCCGTAGCTTTTATAGGAGTATTGATACTCTATTAATCCTTAATCAGTTGAGTATACATTCTTATCAGAACTCTCCCTCATTTCAATAAAAGAATCTGAACAAAAATTTCCTTGAGTAATCAATTCAATCTTGGCCATGAGAATAGGCTCATAGAGCGGTAGTATATCCCAATTTTATTTCCGGAGTCGAGTCAGAATTTCGTAGATGAATAACTCTCACATGGCTCGTGAGGTACTTTACAACGTTTAGACAAAGGTTACTGGTATTCCTTTTTGTACAAGTATAGCCTTAACGGATAGAGACTTTGATTTACTCGTTACAGATAGGGACTCATCCATGGAGTTCCGGCTCAGAGAGTACGATTGTATTCTAAGGGCATGTACTGATCAGACATCTTTTTTTGAAATTTGTCCGATTGTTCTAACTTGAAATTTTTTACTCAAACCATAGCTCTGATACCATTAAATGTTACCCCCTCAGACTGATGCCGATAGCCCGATCTGATTTAGAGTGTCACATTAGGGCCACTGGAGCGACCCTCTGTAAAAATAGCAGAAAATTTAAAACTTTTATTAAAACATGTAACTTATAATTGCCTTAACAACATTCATAAATAAAACAGATTTTTCAGACTCATATATAAAACAAAATACAATTACATGCCCCCTAATCACAAGTACCACCCTCTGTAAGCAACGCCATAAGAACTCCCTTACTGAAATCGATAGCTGCAATGGTACAATTCTTTTAAGCTGCAATGATTAGTAATAGAGTGAGCTTCGGAAAGCTCAGTAACATAGAACTACCAGATGATTCTTCATGACATGCAGATAATTGGAAAATCATATAATTTCCTTATTGAATCTGACGTATACCAGTTTGAGGAATAATCTGGGGTTCCATTAGTAGTTTGTCGAGTAGAAGCCATGAAGATCACAGTTCATAGGAAACTTTTTATACTATCACGTTTTCAAGAGTTGAAAAGGATGTCTAGTGTGTTCCAATCAAAACCAGTGAAAAGATATAAAACTTTTAAAACCATAGTAGGTACAATGAACGAGTAATAGTTCAGTAAATCATCATAAAATCATAATGAAGTTTCACTTTTGAAACTCGTAGTTTAAATCCTTTTCATGTACACCATCCGCAGTTTCCCATAACTGCGTCCATAGGGCTTACCTTAAGCACACAACAAAAAGAAAGCCAACCTAAGGATAGACTTTAGGGCCTGTATCCTTAAGTTCGTAGGGCTTACCCTAAGCACATAGCAAAGGGAGCCAACCTAATGGAGCATCTTGAGGCCCGTGAGCCTACCCAAGAGTCACATTAGGTCCGTAAGGTTTTCCAGCTTGATCAGAGCTATTCCTCCGTAATTCAATCCAACCCAAAATCGGTATTTCAAAATACAATTTATGTAGTAAGCAGAATTTCCATAAATCCGTAATCATCATTATCATATATCAGTTAAAACCAATAATCATATATCAGTCGTAGTCCATAAACCATCACCAATAAGTCACTGTATCAATAACGGTAAACCATAGTTTTCAATGTACCATATTTCAAAACAGATAAAACAATTATGTAGTACATAAGGAACACACTAGAGGATCCAAGTATTTTTTAGATGAATTTTATAGTTATCAATATGGATAACATGAAATTTGTGCAATTTGATCAGATTCCAGAAGCAAGAACCTATTGACGAGAATCGATTTCTAACCGATCTAATCAGACATTTCAGATTGATACTTTAGAATTCCACTCTGATTCATGTGCATCAGGAAAACGTTCAGGAATAACCAGAGTGATTTAAGCTAATAAAAGAGAAACGGAGATTCCATACATTATAATTCATGTTGATCGATCGATTTATCGAACTATTCGAATTGAACAACTCTCATAACTAATGCGTTTCGACCCGTCAATTTATTACCTTTCCAGGTATTTACTCTTTAATACTAACAATTCCTGTACATAATCATCTTCGTAATCATTGCTGAATAGATCTTCCTATGGTCTTTATTTTATTCCACGTTTCAACGATATCAGAAAATACAAACGTACTTGATTCATGGTTTATGACCCATAAAGACAATTCATCATGTATGTTTATCAGTGTTTCGAAACTCCTCCAATCACCTATTAAATCCTCAATTATTGAGGTTACTTAGTTCATTTAGCAAGAAAGTTTATCCCGATTACTTCAGAGTTTTCCAAATTAATTCAGATACTTCTGAGTTTCAGATACATATTATACTTCCGTTCATTTCACTTTGGT